AGCAGGTGTCCTACTGTAAGGAGGAGTTTTTGAAGCCCTTCAGATCTCCTGGAGATATTGCTGACCTTTCTGGCAGGGCTGTTTGCTTGCATGAGAAGAACCCTGATCAGGCAGGTGTGATCCTGGATTGGTCTTGAAATTAATGCAGACTTATACAGTTACAATTTCCCTGAACAAAACAAGCACCATCTTGTGCAACTACGTAAACCATAAACTTTTTTGGCAAGGCAGGTGTGGCATCTTCAGTGTCTGGAAAGCACCTAACATGCTGTGTGGGCTCCCTACTGTAATCCAAATTACAAATGCTAAAAAGGCTTTGATTTTTTTTTTTTTGTAATAACATGATTCTTGGCTGAATTGGGCAGGCAAGAACTTAATGGCCTGCATTGGGGTGCTCTACATGTTTCCTCAGGCCCTCATAATTAATCAATGTCGAGTAGTTTCTCTATTTGCAGGGAGGCACCTGAGGAAAGCTCTTCCACAGCCTTAGGTTTAACTTGTTTGTCAGCCCTGAGAATAACCCTCAGTTCTTCAGAGATGCCCTTTCTGGAAGAAGGGGTGTTCCTGGTGCCCAAGGTCCCTCTATACTAAGTGCTTTTGTACAGGCTATGGAAGGCTTAAGTGAGTTTTCGTGATACAAGATGACTTTCAATAAGTTGATAATACGGTTTGATGCTGAGAACCAGTGTTCTAGCTTTTTCATTGCACCTCTGGATAACTCTGATCTGTGGAAATCAGCTTCTGACACAAGGAATTTGTGAAAAGTTTCATGCCAGTAGCTCAAGCCCTCAGCTTGGAAGATGTGGGTGTTCCTTCTAAACCAGAATGGCTTCTGTGTTAAATTGAATATTTAATTGTTGCATGTGCACCATACTATCCTACCAGGCAGCTCTGCTCTTAAGTCTGTTTATTCATACAGGCAACTGAAAAGCCTTGAGTCTTTCAGGATCCCTGACATCACATGCTGGGAAGAAGCTTCAGCATCTTCAATCTGCTGCTCTTTGCTGTATGTTTACAGTCACTGGTGATCGTTGCATTTTGGGGGCTACAGAAAGACATTACTGTAGCCAGAGCAATTCCAAGCTAACTTGTGATAATCCAGCCCTTGAAAAGAAAAAAATCTGGTCCAGCTTTACAGTGTTTTTTATAGTCTAGTCCAGGTCTCTATAAACCATATAAAATTGCCTTTTTAAAGGGTTAAATTTTCCAGTTTCCCATTTGGAACAGGTGTTGCCAGGTGTCATGGTTTGAGATTGCCCCCCCTGAGAGTCGGGGGCTCAGAGGTGATTGGGTGCCAGGGCAGTGTTCCCTGGAGGGCCAGTCACCACTCGTCTTGTTCGCTTCTGCTCAAAATCATATATACACAGCCACCGGAAGCTGTTGGCATATTTTCTGTTGGTGTCTGCTGCGTGTAGGTGTAGAAGGCCAGGGGGTGACTGGGCTCCTTCTTTCCCCCCTCCGGGGGGAGAGGGGAGCCCTGGGGCCCCCCAACTCTGCCTAGGCCAGAGTTAGAGACAGCATTGGACTGAGTGTATGTTTGTGAGGGACGTGACTCACAAAACAACTGGTAAGTGAGGAGAGAGGCAGGCCTTGAGGCCAGGCCATCTTCTTCTCCCCACCTTTGCAGCCAAGCTGCAGAAAGGGGCTGTTTTTCCCTCTCACTGTTTAAGTGGGAGTGGATGCAAGGCTTAGTATTGAAGCTGAGCCAAGAGACGGGCCGGAGGAGGCTTGATTGCCAGGGAGAAGAATCCCAGGCAAGAATTGGAGACGGGCCAAAGGGCTCGGGAGTTGCCCTGTTGAGGTTTTGACCAGGGGCAGCTGAAAACTGACTTGGAAGAATGAAGATTCCAACGCCTACTGTGATAAGCTACAGCAGCAGCGAACCAAGGTATGAGACTGAGAGAGAGAGAGAACCACGCAAGAGAGATGGCACAGAATCAAGGAGAAAGGACTCAGAACTACCTTCTTGGACTTCATGAGGGGAAAAGACTGCAGCAAACAGCTGAAGGTTGGTAGGGAGTGTTCAGGGGCCCTGAACACTCCCACGAGAGAGAGACTGCGTTACTTTCAGCCTTGAAAGACTTTTCCCTGGACTAAAGTTAAAGGGAGGGGCTTAAGAGGACTGATAGAAATGTTATAGTTATATATATATATATATAGAGAGAGAGAGAGTTGCTTTTAGTTTGTACAGTATATTTATTTGTGTAAATAAATGTATATACTTCCCCCTTCCCCTATAGAAGCCTCTGGCCTGAAAGTTCTCTCTTCGGTGTTGGGATAAATTGTGGGAAGGGGTGGAGGAAAGCCTGGAAATTGGATTTTGGATTTCTAATGTGGCTCTAACTGCCACACCAGGTTATAGAAAGTGTTGCAGAAAAGGAACAAAAACATTTTAAAAACACTATGCTGTTACAAATTTTGGTGAGTCTCTGACAGATGAGATTTTGAAAAAAGTTTGTCCCACCAAAAGTAAAAAAAAAAAGGCAAACCTTGTTTACTTTTCCAAGGTGTCATGTTTTTAATAATGCATCAGTCTTCAAAAGATCGAGCAGTATGAAACTTCTCAATTGCTTTTCATTTAATTGGGGGGGGAGAAAGGGGGTGAAGAATTTTTTTTTTTTTTTTAATATTAAAAACCAACAACCAAATTTGAGATGCATGTTCTCAGAGTGGTTAAAAACCAACCCAAACTAGACTTCAGGCAGTGTTTTTTCAACAGCTTTAACCTCCAAGCATTGAGTAGACAGCTTTGTAGGAAACTGTAACGCCAAGGTGATTATGGCAATGACTCACACTTCCCTGTAAGGCATCCAGCTATCAACACACTTGGGGAGCTGTGGCTTTGTGCGTGCAGGCAGGGTGTCAGTCAATGCCCACTTGCCAGCCAGCTCTGAGCTGCTGAACTCATAACTGCTTTGACAGCAAACTGGGATATCAGTGTGTTAGAGAGCAGTTCTGGTGCCCCCAGGCTTGTGAGAGGTTTTAGAAATGGAAGCTAGAGAACGGGAAATGCAAGGCAGGTTTAACTTCCCTTTTCTTTGCTTAATCCTCGTGTAACTTTTTTGAAGAGTCCCCTGAAATCTTCCTGTGAGCAGGTGTTTGGGTAATAGTTAAACCACTAAGAGAAGTAGCATGGGAAGTGAAAAGGGCTGTCTCAGTTTGAGACAATTTGGAGGGGTAGAGACCTTGGACAGAAGTCTCCTTCCTCGGATTCAATACCTCTGGTTTCTCCAACAGAGAGAGAGAAAAAAAAAAAAAAAGAGAGCAAATATCTCTTTACAAAGAAGAATGATAATAACAATACTGTTAAAACTGGGCTAAACCAACTGATGAGGAGAAACTTCCCAAGCCCTGCCCACCAGACCAAATTGAGATGACAACCGGCTTCCCCCACCTGGAAAAAACACTTCTGACCACAGGACAGAGACAGGATGGCCGTCCTTCCATGTGGTTTGCTTATCTCAAGCCTGGAAAACCTGGCAGGAACAGTTGGAGAGTCAGCGCTAGCAGGAAATGGCAGATAGCTAGGAGTTGGTACCTGCAGATGCTTGGGTGGGGCTGGAGTGAGGCTACAGTGCTGGTACAGGCAGTCAGAGAAGGGCTGCGGACCCCCCAGGCGACTGGAAGGACCTGAAAGACACTCGTTGCATCCAGCAACGAGACTTGGTTGTTGCAATTTTGATGTTTGTCAGTTGAAATGGTGGTTGTCAGAGTGGAAGTCACTGCTGATTGTGCCATGAGCACCAATAGTCCAGTCTCTGACAGCACCTGGGTGGTCACTGCAGGTGGTTGAATGTTTGAGTCATTAATCACAGCAGTTCAGTCTCTTTAAAGATGGCAAAACACCAAAAAGCCAAAAAGGCATATTTGGAGAAAAAAGAAAAGGAAAGATGGATACCAGAATTTTTGTGTAACCCAGGACCGGCTGCTACTATCATGTCTTGCCAAAACTTTGTGCTGGTGTTTATGGAAAGAAGGCTGTCAGTTGGGATAGTCAGGAAGACAATAAACACTTGGGAAAGAGACAGGGGTGTCCCTATAGGCAACTCAGAGTAGAGCTGAGGGTACAGCAGATGAGATGTTGGGATTTGCAGGAAACAAGCAGACAGAAGAGGGGGACCCATTCGTGTGCATTGTGGGTTACCCTATTTCCAAAAATAAGGCAGAAGCCAAGCTGTCTTCAGAGAATGAAGACAATAGTGATCATGATAGGGAGGAAGTGGTCTGGATGAGAAACTGGGAGGTTGGGATTGTTCAAATTAGGAGACTGACAAGGAGTGCCACGTTTATACAAAATGGGATGCATCCTAATAGAATTTTCAGGAAGAAGTAGTATTCAAAAAAATAACAAATTTAAATTTCTGAAAGGACATAGGTTTTCATGTAGCGTGCAATTAAATTGTGGGATGCATGGAATGCAGCTGTCAGCTGTGCTGGATGTCATCAGGAAGGAGCAAAAGGTGGCTTTGGGAATGTGCAGGTATGCCCTTGTATGTGATATCCACAGATGATATAAGCAATGCTTTAAAAACCAAATATCTGGCCACATGTGTGTTTCAACTACTGAGGCCAATCTTGATAGGTTGTTTGGGTTCCTCTGTCCTTGATGATAATTTTCTTGTGTCTCAGACTAAAATTATCTAATACCAGATACTGTTTGTGGCAGGGCACTGGGCAAGTTGGGCTGTTATGACTCAGTATTGCCCTTCCCGTGTGGGTTGTGTTTGGCTTTGCACATCTTATGTTTTTAGAGGTGAGGCAGAGTGAGTAATGTTTCAATTTTATTAAAGAGAATGGAATGGCAAAGACCCTTAATTTTTTTAAAAGATGTACGTGTTTCATTTAAAGTTCCCTTCAGGCAAAGTCAGCTTTGGTAGGCAGCTTAAAATGCATTATAGACCATATTGTTATTGTCATCCAAAAAAAAATAGACCATGCTCTGTTCTGAGAAACCAAACCAAACCACTATTTTTTTTTTCTCCCTCCTTTTTTCACTTCAGTTTTTAATAAGTGACCGTGACAGAGACCCTCAGTGTAACCTGCATTGCTCCAGGTCCCAGTCCAAACCCCTGTGTGCCTCTGATGGCAGAACATACGAGTCCATGTGCGACTACCAGAGAGCCAAATGCCGTGAGTCAAGTCTGAGTGTGACACATCGTGGCCGGTGCAAAGGTAGGTGGATTTCAAATGCCTCTGAGAGGAGGACTGGGAAACCTATCTTGTAAGAAACTGAATTCTTAGACCCTTGAGTTTGGTACCATGCTCTGTGAGTAATCTGATTTGAAACTGTGCATTCGTGTGAGGATGGGTATCCGAGTCTGAATTTAGGCAGCAGAGTAAGAGCTAGCTGAATTATCAATTAAAGAAGGCAAAGGAGACATGGACATCACTGAAAAAGGGCTGAAATATTTATCTGCAGACAGAAGCAACTGACTGCGTGGAAGTACAAAATCAAATCCTGAAAGCAGACTTCTTTCTTGCTACCTATGGTGGTGAGGAACCAGGATACCTTTGACTGATAGGAATATGGAGTGGGGAAGAATGTGTGATGCACACCAAATGTCTAATCCCTTTTTGGACATACACAGCCTTTCTGTGCTGAGCTAATTAAGACTGCGTGCAAGGCTTTACATGGCTTTTTTTTTTGCCTGTTTGCTGTTGTACATCTACTTAAAACTGCAAATACTGTCCCTCAGTTCAGCTCTTCAGCATAATCTAAAGATGAAGTTGAAACTTTTTAAAGGAATATTGGTGTCTCATCACACAAATGGTTTGTTTCTGTAGTGAAGTGAAAAATCAAGTAGAGTCCATCTGAGAGCACAATTGACTCACAGGGCAGATGGCACAGATGATTTTAGCACTTGGTTGAAGTGACAGAAGAAATTAATTAAAATCCATGTGAAAGGATAAATAGGCATACATTTAAACCTGGCTTTTGTTTATGAAGGCTTTTTTACTGTTATAAAAATGTATCTTTGAAATTCCTTGATCTAAAATACAAATCCCTTTTCAATATATGGACAGACATCAGGTGAATTATGAACATGATGTCAAATACTGCTCTCTTATAAACAGTTTCTCATTGGAAAAAAGCTTACTTGTATGATTTTTTTTTTTTTTTGGTCACAGCTGCTGGGTTGGTTTATGGCAACTTCTCACATAGCATAGATAAAGGCCTTTGAATTAGGCTGCTTTCTGAGTACTGGAAACTCAGAAGCTTTCTTCCCAGTGCACAAGAAGCAGTTGGACTGTTCTTGCAAGCGATACCTTTTTGAGTATCACAGTAAGAAGCTGTTCAGTGAGAGTCCTGTTTTTACTTTCATCCATTGAACAGAGTGGCTTAGATAAGCAACTCTATGGCTGATATTGGTATATGAACTTGCACTGTTCAGTTGCTTGAAACATGAGATCTGAAATGTGGTACGTCCATGCTAAAGGAAGATATCACTAACAGGGTTCAAGCATCTTCTGCTGTAGTAGGGCACCACATTTACCCTGAGCAGCCTTTATTCCTCCTGGATGACAGAGATGCTCTACAGGAGAACTGCTATAGGACTGTAAGGGATCCCATGAGCCATTGAGCTCAGTCACATGAAGTTGTGATAGATACTGTACTCAAGAACTTACCCTTATGAAATGAGCATTTATAACTTGTGCCTCCCTCTCTAAGGGGGGAAAACAATAGGTAGCTGAAATAAGTGAAAGAAAAAGTATATTGCAGACAGCAAGGCATGGTTCTGCACCCCAGATTACCATAGGCTTCCTAAGTCATATGCCAATGACTTGAACTGTGCTTGTGCCAAGGAAAATAGAATGGTTTCCATAGTGAGAACAGAACTTTTTTGATTCAACTTGATGCTCTGCTCTCAAGAAATTAAGGACCTTTAAAGATGAAATCTTGCCAGCTCTTTGGGAACTATAACCCTTATCTAGCCCTTGTCCCTTGCTAGCTTTCTCACCTGCTTTCCAGTGAAATTCCTTCAGTGCTAAATTATCTGAACTCCCTCCAAACCCTCACTCACACATCAGAAAGGGTTAGAAGTTAGGAGTAGCTTAAAGTGATCAAACTATGGCATCTATGACAAATGGGGCCTCACTGATGAGACTGTATAGAATATTCCAGATGGTATAGCTGTGTGTAAAATACACAGACAAGCAATCCTATCTACATCTTTTGTCAGGAGGCATCATAAGATCTGATGTCAAATAAGAGTTATACCTCTAAACTTTGCAAGGATGAAGGATGAGTACTTGTTAATCATGACAATTGGCCAAGACTCATTTATGCAGTGATTGTTATTTTGGTATATTGGATATCTGTGACTTAGAACACATTTAAGTTCTGTGTTAACTGGTTCGTTTCCAGGAACTTGTTTGACTCATTTAATTACAAAAAACCCCAGTGTAGGAGTGTTCTAAAACCTTCCTTTGAGATTTATAATGGTTGATTTGGAAAGTCTGCTGGTACAGAGCTTGTTCTTAAATCACAAGTCACTGTGTAGAGTGAACCTATCTGTAAATTAGTGGTGGAAATTTTAACAGGTCTTCAGCTTTTGTCCTGGGCCACAAAAGATGAATGCAACTTCTGGCTAATGTTCTGGAAAGACAGGTCTCCTCCTGACTGATGGGTTGTTTGAAGATAATCTTTCTCCTCTACCTACTATTTTTGTTGGATGGGAGATGACATTTTGAAATCACTTAGTCTCCTTACTAGATCCATGTGTTTTGTCTTTGACTTTATTATGAATAAGTGTGTCCCTCCTTGGCAGCAGTTAGTCAGTAAAATCTAAAATGTCACTTTCAATCACTTGGTAAATTTAGGCATGTTTTTATGCATGCTCCAAATAAATTAGGGAGCTCTGGAGTAGAAATGGTATGTGGGTATCAAAGAAGGAGCAAAGAACATCAGCATGAAAGGTAGAAAAGGTGGTGATCAGAAGTAGTCAGCATGGATGGGGAAGTCATGGTTAACCAACCAGGTTGCCTTCTGCGGTTGGACAACCAGGCAGGATAGATGAGGGAAGAGTAGTGGATGTCATCTACCTTGACTTCAGCAAGGTTTTTGACACTCAGGAAGTGTGGACTGGATGTGTGGACAGTGAGGTGGTTTGAGAACTGGCTGAACAACAGATCCCAGAGGGTCATAATCAGTGGTACGGAGTCCACTGGAGGCCTGTCACTAGTGGTGTCCCCCAGCGATCAATACTGGCCTCAGTATTGTTTAATCTACTCATCAGTGAATTGGATGAAGGGACAGAGTGCCTCCAGCAAGTTTGCTGATGACACAAAGCTGGGAGGAGTGGCCCCAGAATGCTGTGCAGCTCTTCAGAACGATCTCGACTTGTTGGAGGTTGAAGGGATGGGAAGAGTGGAACCTTTTGAAATTCAGCAAAGTGTGGAGTCCTGCACCTGGGGAAGAATAACCCCATGCACCAGTACAGGCTGAGGACTGACCTGCTGGAAAGCAGCTCTGCAGAGAAGGATCTGGAGGGTCCTGGTAAACAACAAGCTGTCCATGATCCAGCAGTGTGCCCTTGTGGCCAAGGAGGCCAATGGTATCCTGAGATGCATTAGGAAGAGTACTGCTAGCAGGTCAAGGGAGGTGATCCCGCCTCTCTACTCAGCCCTACTGAGGCCACCTATCAAGTGCTGTGTCCAGTTCTGAGCTCCCCAGTTTAAGAAAGATGTAGAGCTTCTAGAATGAGTCCAGAGAAGGGCTGTGAAAATGATTAGGTGACTAAAGCATCTCACTTGTGAGGAAAGGCTGAGGGAGCTGGGCCTGTTTATCCTGGAGAAGATATGAGTGAGAGGTATCTCAACAATATATAAGGAGGGTGTCAAAGGATGGAGCCAGGTTTTTCCTGGTGGTGCCAAGCAATAGGACAAGAGGCAATGGGCAGAAACTGGAACACAGGAAGTTCCACCTGTACATGAGGAAGAACATTTTTACTGTGAAGGTAATTGAACACTGGAGCAGTTGCCTGGAGACATTGTAGAGTCTCCTTCCCTGGAGATATCGAAAAGCCATCTGGACACAATCCTGAGTAGTGTGCTCCAAGGAACCCTGGTTGAGGTTGGACCAGATGACCTCCAGTGGTCCCTTCCAACCTGCACCATTCTGCGTGTGAAAGAAGTTGGAGATTCCAGGTGTAGGACTCTGACAGTCAGGAGAGTGAAGAATTATTGATACCTGTAGAACAGATGGGCATGTTTTTGCAGTTTGCTCAGGTTCCATTTTTGCTTGTTTTATGCAAATTGGCTGAAGAAAATGGGTATGAATCTGCTGACTTCAGTGTAGCTGGACTGCTTCTTGCCTGCTGGGGACCCGGCCTGCATGTAAGACAGTTACCTAATGGAACTAGAAACAGTTAAAAAGCAGCTTGGATAAATTTTTGCCCTTTGAGATTTTGATACAAACATAGTAGAATTAAAATTAAATAGATAATTTAAATAGATAAACTTCTGTGGTTGCATTGTGTCAATTTGCTTCTAGTGTTATGCGGATGTCTGAAGATGTTTTACCTGATGTTATTAGGATAGCTTGGGTCTTTATACTATGATACTGGGTGATGTCAATACTGCTTCTGCCTGTTGAAGAGAGGATGCTGGAATTCTTGGGGCCTATTCAGAAGTGCACTGTGTATATTAGGAGGGACACGGTAGTTGCGTCTGAATAAACTGTTCATGGATAAGATCAACTACGGTAACTAGCCAACTTCATTGCAAAATCCAAAATTATGTGCACCTGTGTTCTGCAGACTAGGCCAGGGATATCAAAAACATCACTTGTAGTTAACAATCTCCTAGTTGTCAGCTGTCAGCTTGAGAATTAATTTTCTTTAAAAGGCAACTTTCTTAGCTACAGTAAATCTGTCCCAAGATTGAAGATAAAGTAAAATTAAGCAGGTCTGCTTTCAAAGGAAGTCATCCTGTTTTAGTTTTTCACCTAATGTAATGGAGGGAAGAATGTCCAATATAGTCTGTCTGGACCGTGAAACTGGAATGCATTAATGCCACTCTGTTTTACAGGCATGGTGTTTGATATTCCAGAGAACATTTTTAAAAAGAGAGAAGTAAAAAATGCTGAAACACTTGAAGTAAGCCATCAAAATGCAGAGTAGGGTATATGAACCTACCATCACAAGATCAGGCTCTAGTAAAATTTGCTTTGCATCTTATTTAGGGTGATCTATTTGGCAGCTACTTTTTAACACTTGGCACTTATGCATTATTTTACGTTTTCTAACTAACAAAGCAAAAATAGCAAGGTGAAATCATCCCACTGAAATCACATGTTGATGTAAACAGTATAAAAGTACTAGCCCATAAAGTGAGGAAGAGAAGGATTGACAGTCCTTCTAAAAACAAAATGGTAAATGTTGACATTAAAGGCACTGTTTTTACTGGAACTGAACTGTGGAAGATGGATGAAAAAGATAGCAATATGCACACACCTCTCCACTCAGCATGCCATGTAGATGGTTGCTCCAAATCAAGGCTGTAAAAGGACTGGCATAACCTTTGGAAATCTGTGAGGGGGGGATGGAAAACGTAATCAGTCCCGAGTGCTCATGTACAGAGAAAAATTTTCTGTCTTTGTACTTCAGCAGCAATTTCTGAAGTCATCACTTGAGCCAAGGGTTGAATTGCAAAAGAGCAACGATAAGCTCTTAAACGCTGTGGTGTAGTGGTGGTGTGTTATGAAGTATGGTTTGCTGGGTGGTAGTAGAGAGTTTAATCTATAAATGTCAGTTAAAATTGCCAGGAGAGCCACAGTCACATGTTTGTATTATCTTCTTTTTACAGTGAGGGCTTGATCATGTGCATGTTTCTCTGTTCATTAGAGAAACTGGTCAAAGATCTTGGTTAGTCTCCCTTCTGCCTGGACTCCTAATGTATTTGTACTACAGGGGATATCACAAAATGTTTGTTAGCAGCTCTGTGCTGAAGCATCCAGTTTCAGTCATGTAGTTGTGAGTGTGCCAGCACTAAAGTAGATGCTATGTGGAAGTGCTTTATGCTTATGTTTCATGTTCAGGAGAGGAGCGAGGTATGCCTGTCTGCAGTCTTGTATCCTCAGATGGAGAAACTACAAAACATTTTCATTTGGGAACTTGTGCTTTGGTTGTCATGTAAGAAATTCACATGTTTTTTCCTTACAAGTGCGCATCTGCATAATCTATGCTGATTTTTTCTTTTAATGCTACTTAGTTGTCTCCTGTGAAGCAGAAGTTGAAAGTGTTTTCAGCTAGCTATGAAACAGAAGATGCAGTCACACCATTTGGTTTTGTAATAATGTCCTCCGTAATGCCAAGATAGATTACTCTTAAGCTTGAATGGGAGATTTGCAGGTGACAGGTGTTACAATTAACAGCATTGCCAGTGCTTCCTTTTCAGCTGAAAGAAAGAGCATGTATTTGGAAGGGTCAGTTTGCAGGACTGTCCTCCACTGGAGATGTGCAAACAAGGTCTGATCATCTGGTCACTTTGGCAAGCAGTGGAAAAGGAAATTCCGTATCAGAGCTTATATCATGGAGAACTAGAAAAATAAATACTGCTTCTCTAAATACAGGGTAAATTCTATTCAAGTCTTTTCATTCTGTAACAACCTTGCTCTTAGTACAGGTATTTAATAGGTCCACCTGAGATTAAAGCTCCATGTGCTAAGGGTATTTTGCAAACACCCCCCCCAACAAATTAGTCCAAAGATGAGTAACATAAGATGAGAAGTTACATGAGGTCACAGGGAGGTGAAATGACCAACCTGTAGTCACTCAGTAGTCAGTGGCAGAGTTGATATAGGCACTATTGCTTTCTAACCCAGTCCCTAAGTGACTGGCATCTATGGGACTATTGCTATGAATCCTTACTTTTTTTCAGAGAGAAGGGTTTGATTTTCATCATTTTGTAAACCTTGTGAAATCCTTCATGGGGAGTAATGTGATATGTTTAAAATGAAACTGTGTTGGCAAACTGAAAACTTAGTCTCTTGAATCATCAGTAAATAAAGTATGTAGCTTGAAAGCTTTAGTCTATGCGTTTATCAAAACTGTTTACAGCATTGTAATTGATTTCTATATCTAGTTATGCTTAGATGGAAGTTGCTTCTGTTGCCATGCAGTATGAATTCAGTTGATCTAAGAACCCAGACTGACTTTCTAGTTAAGTGCTGGTACTAGTGATGCTGTTGGTGAAGTTCATGTGATCTGTGAAGCAGAATATGTGAACTTAAGGGATCCAGTGGAATGTTTTGCTAACCAATATGATTTCCATGCTTGGAATGGGGTTTCAGTCTTGGTCACTCTTTATGGTGCTGCTGAAAGATTCTGGTGATCAAATTTTGCAGTTTATGCACTGAAAGTCTTTAGTCAGTGGATTCATGGGATAAGGAAGAAGGTGCTAGTCCCTGTGTCGGGGTGCCATGGAAACAGATGTTTGCTCTTTTCCTTCGCTTTCTAGACTGAACAGCAGTACTGTTAGACCTCATGCTCTTAAATGTAAACACTGAGTCAATCTGTATCCTCTACAGGGCAGAACTCTCCTCTTTGACCCATCAGTCATCAGTGTAAGACTTACCTGGGTATACTCTAACAGTGAGCTAACCCTGGAAGGGGGTTAAGGTCATCATGCTGCCATCATCTGAAGTAAGAGCTGAGATCTTAACCCCTTCAAACTCTGCTTGCAGAGCAATGGTTTTTCTTGGCATCAAAGTGAGTAACTGATATGAGAAAGTTATAATGAACACCTGGCTTTAAGCATTGGGACTGGAGGCACAAGCTGAGTTTCAGGAAAGCACAGGAAACTGCATGTCTGCCTTACCTGAACAACACAAAGGTGGAAGTCCAAATGGGTGACTGGCTATTTTAGCATCTTATTGGGAGAGTTGCTCAGAGAAGAATTTTTGATAGGGTCATCCCTTCTTCCACATTGCTCACTTCTGAGCCTAAATTCTTGCTTTATACTCAGCCATCCAGTTTCAGGCTGTAAATGCTAACACAAACACAACTCCCTGCATGGACATTGTGCTCCAGCACTTGTTGAAAGAAGCTTCCAGAGTCCTTAGATGACCATAAAAACTATTGACTAGGAAATTAGGCAGCTTTTCATTAACTGGATTGTAGTATGATTGTCTAGGTTCATATTTGTCTTTGAGATCATGAGTGCTAACTTGATATCTGCTTTGTGAACATGCAGCTAATGATCCTTTATGCTTTATATTTATTTGTTTGGAGTTTTTTCCCCCACAGCTGCTAGGTGCATCTGGTAGCTTTTGGAGGGGCCAAATGATGTTTGCAATGTAAGTGGGTTTTGTGTTTCTCTTCATAGATGCTGGCCAAAGCAAGTGTCGATTAGAGAGAGCTCAAGCACTGGAACAGGCAAAGAAGCCCCAGGAAGCAGTCTTCATCCCAGAATGCAATGAGGATGGATCATTCACTCAGGTAAAATTTCTATTTGCTTCTTTCAGCCAGGCTTCAGGTGTCTGTGGGAGATCCACTGTTAAGCCATGAGCCAAGTGATGATAGCAGCATGGGTTCACACCCTGACTCAGTTACTCAGGTGAAAATGTTGAACGCTGGAGACTTCTTTAACCAAATGGAAGGTTTGATTCAGTCACAATACCTTAAAGATAAATAGAAATGCAGTAGCATACAGCTTGAATGTAGTACAGAAACAAATGGCATTAACCTTCAGCATTGTGTAGAAACAAAAACAGTTGCAGGGGAGGTAAATTTTTCCATGAAGAGGAGCTGTAAAGGGAGCTGTGGCTTACGACAGGGTGGATCCAGCTGATTCTGCTGTTACCTGTACTTCATCTATCCCAGCAAAAAAGTAATCTCTTCAGCTTCCTCCTTTTGCAGGGTACTTCTTGTACTGTGCCCTTTTGTAGTTTGGAGGTCTGGCAGAGAGATGATGAAACTGCTTTGTTTGGGTTTTTGACTCTTTACTGTTCACTTGCTGAATTTGCCGAAGCAGGGTAGAAATGAAGAATGATACTTGCTTCTGTTACCACTGGCATATTGGGTAGTATCCCAGGGCTAACTGAACTGCCTGTTAAAAATGGCTCATGCAGAGTTTCCTGACAGGTAGGAGAGGTATGCTGTTTGCTCAGTTTTGCATGCATTTCAAAAGCCAAAATCCTGCAACCCTATGACCTCTCTTTTGTGAATCTAGGTAAATCACAGAACTTTTTTTACCTTAGCTTCCATGTATCTAGTCCTGCTCTAGACATCTTGTTCCTCGGAGAAATTTTAGGATGCAGAAGTTATTGTTTGCAAAGTCTTTTGAAGGTAAAAGATATCCCAAAATGGAATCAATATTGGCTTAAAAAAGATGAGAAAGGCAAAGAGCTTTGGGTTTGGTTCAAACATTTTGTGATGCCTGGGGGAATAGGAGAGGAAAGATTTTTTTTTTGTGATAACCCACCAAAAATTTTTATTCCCTTCCTCAGCCTTACCCTCACATTATCTGATGTGTGGGAGTGTTTTGTTTTGGTTTTTAATGGTGAAGTGGGAAAAATTTTATCCATCCTGCCAACTTTGCATGCTGCTTTGGAACAGCATCGTATTTGTGTGCTGTGGACCATCATAGGAAGGTGGGGGTAAGAGAAGATGGCTGCAGTTTCTTCCAGTTTAAGTACAATTTCAGTTGTTGAAATTTGATTTTGTGTAGAACTGCTCAGGTTGTGTTGGCACTGGAGGGAAATACTTATAAAACCTAGCACTGTGGGCCAGCAAAGTGTTCCATGTTAAACTTCATAGTTCAAGAAAAAAGGAGGAAGGAAGGCTGACTTTCAAATGTCTATTACCTGTCTATCAACCTCTTGGAGAGTTAAGTAGGGGGTGCAGGTGAAATTTTTATCCTAATAAGCTGGACTGATAGTGTAATTGATAAAGCTGTTTCAGACAGATTTATTTTGGAGGTTGGTACCAGTGTCTGGATTGTGAGCAGTTGCTGGACTTCTTTCCTGCACATTCTTTGGCTATTGTTGGTTTCCAGTTGAGGGGCAGCAGGAAACTGCTTAAAAAAAATGTGTTTTCATTTGGCAGTCAAGCAATATTTCACATTCTTCCTCCGTTCAGTTCTATCTGTGAACACTGAAGTGCTTTTGTTTTACCTGCCAGGATGAAGGAAGCCTCTGATCTCTTTGTAGCTGGAATTAACTGAAATTCATATCGTTCCTTGGATTGTGAAAATACCCTACATTGCACATACCTCATGAACCAGCTTCATCAGTTATATTGCAACATTTAAGGTCATTTTCTCTGCATAAGATTTAAATGAAAAAATAATGTCCAAGAATGCTGACTTGTTTCAACCTGCATTTGAGGCGAATATTTCCTTTAGCTCCTGGTCCAAATTAATTAAACTTTGATTTTTAAAAGGATGTATAAAAATTAGAGTTTTGGTGAACAATCTAAACAGTTTTGCTTCCAGCAACTCATTAATAGCTCTCATCTGGTGGAGGTGGTTTGGATACTGCATCTCTTGTGCAGAGAAGTGATGGTCTTGGGTTCTGCTCTACAGGGAGGCTGTGTTCTTGAAGTCCCTCAGGCCTTAATGAAGTCAGCTCTGGACTGTTAGTTTATTCTGGTTCATTATTCAGAGTGTTGCTCCATCCAGACTCCAAAATCTCAGTTGGGAAGTCCACAACAGAGCAGTATCTTTCGACAGAGTTTCTATGAGAAATACCCACCCTACTCTTCACCATGGAATTCCCATCCCAACAAGAGCTTAAGCAGAGGCACATGCTTCAGCGTAAACCCTGTATGTAGAGTAGGTTGGGGAAATTTCTTCAACAACTTCCCCCCATCTTTTCTGCATAACTGTGCTTGAAAAAGTGTTTTGTGTAAAAGAAAAATTCTGATCAGAGGGGAAACAAAGATGCATGCATATATTTAGAATATCAAATGTCTAAACTGTTACAGTGCTCACTCAAGATGTGGATGACTTGCTTTCAGGTCTTGCAGAGCCTACTGAACATGGTAGGTGTTCAGGCCCACATTATTGTCCTTGCCATCAGAGTTAAAAAGATCTGATTTTTTATCTAATTAATTAATTGTTGGAAATCCTTGAAATTTTTGTAGGAGTGAAAAGCATGAGCTTTGTGGAAGCATTTGGTAGTGGTAACTATGTTCAGAAAACCTGCTTGGCCTCAACCAGATTGAACTGTTACTTTTGTAGTTTGTCATCAGTCTCTTTATTAGAAACTGAATTGCAATCTCTATGGGTAAACACTGAAAGCAGCACTAGGTGAGGGCTGTTCCTCTGAAAGCAGCTCAAGTCTGCCCTTTCCAGCTCTTGGCATTGTAGGTAGTTCAAAACTAAATTTGGGGCTGGATCCACTGCCGTAGGGTGGTGATGAGAACATAGCTGCTCTGCTGTCCTGTGAGCAGCAGCACGTGCTGCATGGGGCAGCAGCTGCAGAGGGAAGACTGTGCTCACCTTATCTGCTCCTGGTTCTCTGCAGGGCAGCTGGCTCTGAGACCCAACACTTAGATTGGTAACAAGGGTGAAAGGGAGGAGGGACTGAAGGCAAAGACCTAGGTTTGCATTTAAACCCTCCCTTAGAGAAGCATTATGTGTTGTAAACACTTGTATAATCTGTCTTTTTTTTTTCATTGTCTGTGAAATCTAGACCAACCATTGATTCTGTTGCTTGGCTGGCCAGTTTTCCTGTGCATGACTAGTTATAATGTGTTTTGTGTACTACATTAAGAGGAGCAGACACTTGTCAATTCACTGTAACTCCTATGCACCATGTGTGCTGCTTCCCTTATTTTTGAGTTTGTGTATTGCAAAGATCTTATCAAATCCCTTTTTAGTGCTGCTTACACATCTAAAAATGTGATGTGGATTTGCAGAATGAAGAGGAGATGGCATTGCAGGCATGAAGGGATGACTGTAAATGGCAGCAGACCTGATTAAATGCTCTGGAATTGCTATTTCTTTATATTTCAGTCTGTGTGGAGAATATTACTTCCTACAACAAAAGCTCTCTGCACTTAGCCACAGTAATATAAGCAGGCAGATAGAATTTGAGTTATTCACAACATAAGAATGTTTGTTAGATATGAGTAATTTGATTAATTGTAAAAGCTGAGGTCACATAATGTGCGAAATTGGACATGACTAAAACCCGTTTCTGTTCCCAAGACTTTTGCCTTTTTGCTGTTATGCTGTATTTTGCATAAATGCCATTCCCTTTCCATGCTGCACTTAACCTGCTGTGATCTGTTCTTCATAAACAACAGGCTCTAGTGGGTAATCTGCACACTTTCTTTTGCTGCCTAGTGCCATTGGGCTTGTTGCCATGGGCTGAGAGAGACTTGCATTCTTCATAGTTTTCCCCCAAGCAGTTTTTTAGAAAAGGTTGCTGAGGTTTTAAATGGGATCCATTTCAGACAGATTAATATGAACATGAATAATGCTAATCCTGCCTTGGGGGTGTAGTTTTGTGGGACTTTGTGGTATGTCTTGCTGTTTGCTACCACCTTCCACAGTCTAGCTGTGGTTTCTTTTTCTCACAAGTCATCACACAAGTAGCTGAGATCAAGTCTCCTTGGAGAGTTTCTTTGAGTTTAGGGTTCCCAAAATGCAGCTGCTGGTGCAGTTATGATGCAGCACTGCGATTTCTTTTAAAGCAAGTGCATCAGTCAAACCTGTCACCTTATAGCAGGATCATTGAGTGGGCTATCAGAGCGGTTCTCCATTATCAGATAGCTTCAAGAGCACTCCCACATCTGGTAATAAAAGTCTGTTTGGAAAGAGTGATCTATATTATGATCCATAGCAATAGTTTAATTCTGCACTATGCTGGTGCACATAGAAAGTTCTGTTTTCTCCTCAGTTCCACAAGCAGGCCCTTTCTAAAGATTTGGGGAACCCTTTCAGTCTTCAGACTTCATGATCCAAGTCTGTTCCTCTGCATTGTCTAGTGTAGCATGATGCTGGGCAGAACTACAAAAACTAATTCCTTAATGCAGCAAGGCACTGTGTAGACATGTCCCACATTCCCTGGATGCTCTCTGTTATTCCATTATTCAGTGCTTATATTCTAACAATACTAAGCTCTTAAGGATTTAACCTCTGCTTTCAGAAGGCAAGAACATAGTCTATTTTGCTAAATTGAAGAAACTGTTCATGAAGTATTTGGGCATTAATTGGTAAATGGTCCTGGCTTTTTTTTAATGAAGACATCCCTTCTATAAAAGACTGTAGCTGTAGCTTTCAGTGAGTACTGCTCTGCAGGTTTGTCTGCTACTTAAACACTTGCTTTCTTCCTGCAGCTTTTGTTGTGTTTCTCATTTGTGTGTTGTGCTAAAGACAACCCATGAATGGGTAAGGAGGTAAGAACTTTGGTTATATATGGTATTTCTTCAAAGTACCAGTTGAGAGAACAAAGGAACAGTCTTAAAGCAGGAGTGGACATACTTAGGGAAAGTGACAATATAAGATAATTCTTAACTTCCAAATGTCTCATTCTATGTCAGAAGCAGAAAGCCTCTCTTAGGTACACTTCTCTTGAACTAAAAATAGTATGTGTTATTGTGTCTGATGGGAATGCCCTTGACCATGGCTAAGATTTTTTTGCTTCAAATCACTTCTGTCCCTGATTATATGAATAGTGAAATTCCTGTGGAGCTAGCATTTCTTGAATGGTGCATAGACTTGAGGGAGATGGGTGCTGCATAAAGCCTTGGTGGAAATATTTGCACAGCACCATTTGTAAAGAATTAAATATGAGCAGAGATCAGAAAAAGTGACAAAAATTAAAGGGTTGCAGTTGCAAAGAAGCTCAAACATAAGATGCAGACTGATTAATAGCTCCCAAAAATTGTCTATAAAGGTATGGCAGGCTTCTGATAATAGTCAGCGAACTCTTAATCAGATCCAGGGTTTAAGCATTACAACAAGATACGTAAACCAGAACAGAGGCATCACTATTTACAGTTAAGATAAATAGCCATCGGGCCAGTGTGCTGGTTGTGCTAAATTGGGTTCAGAGGACTTGCTAACTGAGCCTCATAGCTTGAGGAAAGAAAAGGCTTGATTGAAGAATGGCTGTGTGACACTGGCTTCTGCTCCATGGGTTCAGACTAGATGACCTGCTGGCCTGGAGCTATTTATTTAGCTGTTTTTACAGTGTTTACAAGGAGTACCTTGGAGCAGTCAGGATTTGGAGCCTTGCCTCGTGTTGTGAGTGCAGGCAGTAGCTCTGCTGCCTGCCCATACCCTCAGCAGTACCATTAAAAAACTGAATATGTTTTTTTCTTCTCTCACAGAAGTAGTGCTTTGAATGCAGGAGTAATGTTTTTCTTCCCTTCTCCTCTCTGCCTTCTGTTATGGAAGGAGCCAGGAAATATTTGTTTGAATCTGTGATGGGATAGGAGTCAGTTACTAAAGTTTTCATCTGAACAGCAGTGAGAGGCTAGTCTGAGTGTTGCTGTTCCTGTGCTCAGCCTAGTGCTTGTCCAAGGTGCTTTCAAGCCTCTCACAGCAAATTACCTCTTTCTGTAACTCTTTAGAAACTGGTTTCAGACATCACAGAATTGCTGCTTTGCCTCTGTTCTCTGTCATATATGTGCATGCAATTTCTCTCTTACTTGCATTTTATCTTTCAGTAACAACTCCTTGATCCTCCTTTGTCAAATAGCTGTAAAGGGATGCTACTTGCTGCTTACTTGTTTAAAGTCTTGGAAATCTGCTCAGGAATCTGATTCTGGTGCAGTGAGGTACTGAAAAAACCCAAACAATGGCCTCTCTTTCCCCTCAGGAACTTAAGAGGCAGAGTCATCTGTCAGAGACTACTCTTTTAATGTTTTCATGTTGTAATGAATTTTGATCAGAGTAGGTATTTAATTATATGGCTAGTATATTAGCTACTGTTTGATTTGGTAATGGCAGGGTAGAGTAGAGGAGCTGCTGCTACACTTTTAATTTGGGCAGTAGCAGTAGAGCAATCTTTTTTGAGTTTGTCCCTCATGCTTTCCATCCTTCAGTTGAGACACAGGTGAAATGTCGTATCTCTCCATGAAAAATAGGAACAGTGTCCTCCTGTACAATCAGGGATTTGGCTGCTTGGAGTGCTTAAAACTGCAATTAGATTTTTTTTTTTTAAGTGTAGAGATTAATGGGGAATCTGTTGAAGACTTCAAATGATTGACAAGTTTTATTTGACTGAGTGCCTATTATGTAACTTAGTGTTCAGCTGTTGGACAGGTGTATGTTAATTTGAGATGTCAAATTCCGTCATGTGCCTTTCCAGCAGTAATGGGCATTCTATAGCTGCAGCTTGGTTTACAATCTAGTGTATTTAGTATATAAGATTGTATTACCTCTGACACAATGCTTAGCTTTAGGAGACTGAGAGCCAAAAAAGTCAAACACGTTTTTCTCTGACATGTATTTTGATAGTCAAAATTAACTCAATAACTGAAGATTTGATCTGTGCAGTAAACATGTGTCATCCTTACATAGTTATTCTTCTGGTTATAACACTATTTAAAAATCTCTAATCCCACTACTATTAGAGTGGGATTAGAATAAGGTTGAATTTTGGGTTGAGGATTTAAATTTTCTTTAGAAACAAAAGCTCAAACCTACCATAATTGGGAAAATTTAATGTAAAACCCCACATTTTCAAGATTCCTTACTATAGGTGCTCTGAAATAGTCAACATTTGAAATTTGTTTAAATACAGTGTTTAGAAACGGTACTGGATCACCTATTGCCTTTACATTTCTTCAATGTCATACCAGTCCTATATAACTGATGAAAAGTACACCTTTACCCCCAGCTTTTAAACTGCAAACTCTAGGCTGTAGGCCACTGTTATGACACCTAAATATTCTGAGACTTGGTCAGGTATTATGGTAAAAGGTAGCATCTCTCAACATGAAGACATTCAGAAAAAGCAACTGCAGTGATTTCTGAGGTTTCTGAAGTGTCCATTCTTCATGGGTAGCTGTCTGACCTTTAGGATAAGGCCAGATAAGATTTAATTGCAGCTGTTATCTGTAGTAGGGAAGTCCTTTGGTGCTACAGTAGAACATGTGCTCGTGGTTGTTGTGAAAGTGCTGTCAATTTCAGATTTTTTTTTTCCTTTTTTGTTTTAATGGCAGCATGGGGGAGAAAGGGTCATGGGATACTAGTCCAAGGAAGACCAGCATTCCTTAGCCCAGTTATTTACAAAATTACTTCACTTTTATGGATGTTAAGTGCTTGACTTGCATAAATGAGTGTACGTAATTGGTAGCTTTCCACTGAGATGCATTGCATAACATACTCTTAGTTAGTGCATCTATCCTAAATTTATGTCAATATGTTTTTTTTTGACTCCTCTGCCATGTACTTTGTAATTTTTCTGAAGGCTTGGTTGAAGGACTATCTAGTCAGTAATACTTGAATTTTTTAAATGCTGGGTACACTGGATTTTTTTATATAATGTAATATGGAGTGATCTTGCCTTAAGAATTCAAGACCCCATCCTGGAATTTAGCTTTATCCCTGGATAGGATTTTTACAATTAGTGCTCAGATGTAAAGGCAGCTTCTTGTGTTATTGGGAATGCAATGTTGTCTATGCAATCAGCAAAGATAAATATGAACACAAACCCAAGAAGTTTCATCACATTTTTTTGAATGTTCAGTTGATAAGATTGACCAATAAGAAATACTTCCTAACTTGCTTATTGCTAATTATAGTCACAGTGCTTTTGAGTAATTTGCAATCTATTTTGTGATATATTGAGAGAATAAAGATGAAACTGCAGATAGTAGTGATAGTGTAGTAACATGGGTACATGAGATTACTGTTGATTTTGGCTGCTAAAAGTGAATGCTTGAGGTAAAATTATTGATTTGTGCTTTAGTGAAACCCAAGATAAATACCATGTACCGTGTTATAATTGCTCTTAGATCATGTTTTATGTGGTATTCAAAGCCTCTTAAAAAAACTGTCATTAAGTCTCTGAACAAACTTTGCTACCTTAGGGCATTGAAGCCAGCTGTCAGCAAGGGGGAATGACTGATTTAGCTCTGAAGGATCCATAATGAAGGGAACTGTACAAACACCCCATCACTCTTCCGTGTAAAGAGAACTGGAACGGGAAAATGGCTTCAGTGAACTTCTTTGGAAAAAGAGAGAGTGGACAGAATTAATTTTACAAGTAAAATAAAAGGCTGTTTCTGAAGTGGTCTCATTTCATGGCTTTTTTCAGAAATGTATTGAAGGAGCCTCTCTATCTTTTAAAGTAACATAGGCATTTCTGTACCGTTTGAAGATACTGATGTGCACACTCAGCCACGGCTGAAAGTGTGTTTGCTAGAAAGGATTTTGGAATCTGTTAGTACTTACACAGATGCCTGTATGATGATAATTTACTTTTGTCTCAAGGGATGTCAAAGGCATCCTGAATTTCATCCAAATGCTGACCACTCTGAAAGCTGAGGTAAAGGTTGTTTGTTATTGGATTTATTAAGCTAAATTAAACTATATGAAACTATAGTGCTGCTGAACTAATACCCATATAGATGTTACTAAGACCAGTCTGCTAGATCAGAAGTTATTTGTTCTCACTTTAGGGGTTCCATGTCTGAACTAGTAATTCTGGTGTCTATCTGTGTTAAAGGAAGGAAGTGGGCAACTCTAGATGTCTAGAGCTTTAAAGTTAAGCAAGATGAATCTTATATTGTGTACCTTTTGATTCACTAGAACCTTCATCAAATATTCTTAAGACTTTGTCAATATATCAAGACCAAGCACGTTGTATCTTGCTCCTATCATGTAGTTTGACATAGTAACAGAATAGGGCTTCAATCTATCTGGAGAGGGTTTGTTAACATAACAAGTCAGTATTGAATTTTTTTCAGCCATGTTTACTGAACAAAATGCTCTTGAAAATACCGACAGATGCTGCTCTCTAGCAACGCCTATGGAATTTGGGACCAGGTGGCCTTTCCATAACCCAACTGGGATGCAGTGGACAACTATTTAATAGTAAACAGTAAATAGAAATTAGCAGAGGGTGGAATGAGCTGAGACACAACTAAAGTGCTCTCAGATGATTACTTGCAACTTCTTTTGCTGCCTGAATTTCAGCTGAAGGAGTTGGAGTACGAGAAATAACATTTCTTTGGGGTGGGGCGGAGGTGAGGGAAGAAAAGATAACAATATCAAATATAGTCTTCTGTGAGACCTCCTTGCTCTGAAGGATACGTTTGTGATGCACCTGGGTTGGGACTTCCAATAGGATGCTGAATTATAAAAAAAAAAGTGGTTGGTGATAGTGAGAAATGAAATGCCTGCTCTTTGTTTTATTAAACAGGTGCAGTGCCATACCTACACTGGATACTGCTGGTGTGTGACACCTGATGGCAAGCCTATTAGCGGCTCTTCCGTACAGAACAAAACTCCTGTATGTTCAGGTACTGTGGGAGTGGCTTCAACAAATACTAATTCTATAACTGAAGAGGGCTGAGGTAAATGCATCCTGTTGAGAGAGCTAAGTCTTTTCAGGTGACTTGTCCAGTTTACCCCACTTAACACTGCAGTTTGGACTCTGACATGTCCACCTGTGGTTAGCATACAGACACTTCTGCAAGGCTCAGTGAGAAAAACCACCGAGGTAACAAGTGGTAACCACTGTGGTAACCAAGACAAGAGTCAGTGTTGCCATGTACACCGAAACCAAAGATTCACGTAACAGATGGGATAAATTTTTTCCATGAGCTGTATTTTAAAGAAATGGTATTTTGTGGGACATGGAATAATTTTTTGTACGGAGTGATTTCAGTTAATTTGGTTTTGTGAGAAATTGGTAGTTTCTAAGGTTCTGCTGTTCTAATGAATTTGGGTCTTTTGATCATGTTGCTTACTTTAGAATGCTTTTGTGTCATGAGGGTGGACAGCACTGGGCTTGCACCACAGGTCACAAGAGGGAGGACCAGACCCAGGCTGTTACTCATGTGTATATTAAGTGATGTGCTTCTGGGCACTTAGGGTGACATAGTAATGTCACGCTGTGGTTTACTGAGACCAAACCCACAATTTTCCTTAAAACAGAGTAATGCTGTTTTTCTTTTTTCTCCCCACAATTCATTAGGGTAACCCATGGCTCAAATGGAATGGGATTGGTCCCTAGATTTTCATGTGGCCCTGATCAGTAGTGTACAGTCTAGCTTTGTGAGCTGCGGTGAACAGTGCTGCTGTGGCAACACCAAACTAGACATGGGCAAGAGTGGGAAGCTGTTCTGTGCTGTTTGGGAGAATTCGAGGGCAACACTAGAATTAGGCTGCCCTCCTCACTTCCCCTCTCTCTCCCCCTCCCTACCCCCCAAAAAAATAATAGAAGAAAAGGCAGTAAGCATAGGAGTGTTCTAACATGTTCAGTGATGCCATGTGGGCACTGCTGCTGTGTCTGGCTCCGTGCTTTGCAATCTGCACCTCATGGATTTTTAACGTACTTCTCCTCTCACCTTGCAGTTTTTGCTCTTTAGGTGGGAGCATGACAACAGTCAAACCTTTGGGTTTTTTAATTTTTCTCCCCTTTTTCAGTGTCCTCTTGGCTGGAAGGTATTTTATGGTAATAAGCAAACATAAGTGACTTGCATAAGGGTTTGAGTTGAGTGGGAGAGCTATCTGAGAACTAGTGAGTCCATGTAGCTTGAGGAAGTGCTTGGTTTTTCACAGGCATGTAAAAATAAAAGAAGATTAATATCTTATTTTAGTGTAAGGTCAAATGCTACAGTAATTTGACTTAAACCTTAGAATATGACTTTGACACCATTTTCAGTACATCATTTTGGTAGGGCATGTTTTAGAGTTTTGCTGATCTGTTCATTTAGCCTTGTGCTGTTTATAAAATTGTGTTACGGGAAAGTAAAGTCATGTTGTATTGTAGGACACAGATGTTAGGCCTGTGATGACTAATATTGTGTTTGTGCTTACTACTTGTAATTCAGCAGTAGATCTGTGATTAACTGATCTGCAACTGAAAGTGCCTGGGGAATAGTTTACCTTTAGAGTTTGTCTTGACCAGATTCTTGGGCCTGTCAGAGCTGTCTTCTTTAGAGGTGACTTTTGATCCATGTTTCCTGAAGGTTGAGAAATCACTGGAACTGTTTAATAATGGTGCATGGAAGAATCAGTTTCCTGGGAATAAAGCTATTAAAAAAAATAATCTTGTCATAGATTTTTATACACTTTGATAATGAATTTGTTTGAAAAGCTTTTATTACCTGTTCAAGTTTTAGTAGGAAAACTGGGATGAAACGCTGAAGCAGACTGCAGAAACAAGCGTAGAATCATATATTTTCTGTGAAGACCTAAGTTATAGTAAACAACTCAAGATGTGTTCTATTCAAGTACATGCTGGATCTTATTCACTGTCCCCTTTAAAACAGCTGGGGATGTTCAGGGGTTGGTTGAAATCCATTTTCTGCAAATTGTCCCACTTAATCCCTTTCCTTTAGAATATTGTACTTGCATTCCCTGCACATTCTCCCCATCTGTTTTTGATTTGTTCTTCCTGACATTTGCAAATGAAAGAAGTGACTCTTACTGATCTTTCCTTCTTGCCCTTGAATTTATTTCAGGTTTCTTACTAGCACAATGCTCTGTTGAGCTCTTTCAGATCACTAGATCCAGCTACTAAAGATTTCTTATTTACCCTTATCCCAATGTAACATCTTAATGGATAAAACTTATGTTTTTAGCATTGGTTGAAGCCACAGGCTTTCTGACTCCTAAATGGAGCTGTTGATAAGTAAAACAGATGCTTTATGCATTGAGATATTGACTGTATTAATGTGACATCGCATGCTCTCTGTGATCATGCAGCATCTAAATGGATGTCTCTTTTTTTTTTTTCCCTCCCCTTTAGGTTCTGTAACTGATAAACCATCAAGCCAGGGTAATTCAGGAAGGAAAGGTGAGTGAAGTCCTGTGCTTCAGCAACTTGTTTCGTAATAGCAGCTGCCCAGCCACATCCCTTAAAATAGCTCAGAACCCAGGTTCCTAATCAGTTAGTGCATGGGAGGCATATATACCATTAGACCTTCTCTTCAGGAGGAGGAATAAGATGACTGTTCTACTCCCTGAAGAGTAGAAAAGGTTGTGCTCTGCTCTGTTCTTGTCAACTGAGTTGTAGTGCAAGACAGCTGAGCTTCCCAAAGGGTGGGTGGCTGGTCCAGAATAGCCTCTGCTTGTTCACTTTGAAGTAACATACTGAGCATTTCTCAGTAAAATCCCTAGAGATTAGGAAGGCTGTCAATATAACCGGTACTCTGGGAGTCACAAGTGCCAATATTATGGTTGTGGCTCTGTATGCATTGAAAAGTGGTTTTTTTCTAGTAGCACATAAAACCCTCTGGCAAGCTGGAGCAGCGCTGGATTAAACCTTAGCTGTGCTTGGAAACCTCACTCTTTTGTGCATTAGGCATTGGTTCTTCTTTGCTACTGTCTTCAGTCCTTGCCTTTCCTGTGCAAGGCATTGGGTAGTTCCTTGTTCTTTTCCTGTGAGTATTTTAGCTCTTCTCTGTGTCCTCTGGTTTGCATTCACTCTAATAGTCTTGGGAGGGTTGACCACTGAAGTGTCTATGTATGTATGTATATATATACACTCACTGAGGAGCAGTGAAATTTGTCTTTAGGCCTTCTCCCCACCCTGATATTCAACATTTCTTCCCTCTACCCCTGATTCAGAGTCAACTTTTGAATTTGTCTCCTTACTACAGAAAAACAGTGCTGAATGCATCCTCACTCCTGCTGGTGAGGATGAATGCTATTTCTTGGGAGAAGTTCCTGTTTTGATAACTGAAGCAGGATTTTTAGTGCTTACTCTCTAAACCTGTTCTTCCTGACACTTCAAGCCTAGGAAAATGCCAATACTTTCATTCGAGGAACATCTTCCATGCTGGGAATGTCAATCCAGTCCTGAAGACACTTAAGAGGAATTAGCTTGCTATGTTCAGAGCAGTGATGCATATCTGCTCTCCAGTCTATTGTTTGTGTATAGTAGTTTAGGAAAAGGTAGGGAGAAGAAAGATGCAAGGAAAACTACTTAGTTAAGACTGAATGCTGAAGTTTCTTTCTCACTTTTGATACATGTTAATATGTAATTGGCACCTGAATCCATTGTTATTCTGCTAATGCAATCATTGCTAGACTAGCCTGAAGTATAAGCAAATCAAGTAGCTCTTGAAATCTGCATTATTGAGTGGAGGCTGTTTGTAGGGTTTTTACCTGAGTAGTCCTGGTCTGTTGTTCTAGATTTGGAAGCAACTGAGATTGGATTTCATAAGAAACAGGAGCAAAAGGGGAAAACATTTGAACTTGGTTTTTCCTCATTGTTCCCTTTATTAAGTTAGAGCTTGGAACATGCAAAAAGAGAACTGTAAATGGTATAAATTGATCTAAAATTTGTAATAGAAATTGACTCTCCTTAGTGCAGCCTTAGCATCCTATTTCAAGGATATGCTTGGTCGTGTGGCTGCAGAAATGCCCTATGCAGTAGCTGTCAAACAGAAAATGCTTCCCCTTGGGCCAGCATGCTTCAAGCAATCATGTAAATTTTCTGTCCTCTCTAGTTCTGAATTCATTCATGACTGTTGGAAGCCCACACACAAGCAAGTCTGGCCCTTTTCCATCATGTTAGAAAAATACTTATGAGCAGTTATTAAACAGGTCTTTTAAAATCAAGAGGGCTTTTAGAAGCTGTAATAATTTGGTTTAAATTTATGGACTTAACATTACTTTTTCAGCTAGTGATGAACGACTAATCTAAAAATGAATTTGGCTTTCTTGTCAGCACTTTTTCTTGATTTAAGTTACTTGGATTTAAAATTCCAATATCAGGTCCTGTTCTACAGAAGTCAGAACCAAGAACAGCCTGGCTTCCTTGAAGCAAGGTGGTTTCTGCAGGTCCAGCTTCTCTGAAGACTGGTGGCTAGCCAGTATGCACATCTGTTCTAGCTGAGTGTTCAAACCGTTTTTGTAAAGATAACCCTTTGCAAAATGACAAAAAGGACAGGCCAAGGAGGGGTCCAGCAGGAACTGGGTCAGTGATGACCTTTGTGTTGTAGAGGCACAACTTTGAAGCTTCTGATATCTCTTTGGGCAACTACCAGCTGACTTAGGAGCTTTTGGAATTTCCCACTGCACGGTAGACTCCCCTCTCCATTTCTGGATGAGGGTCTCTTAGTCAAAGAGCATTATCTGCCACAGAACAAGTACTCTGAAGAGGAAAAGTAATAGCTAAGACTCTCAAAAGTGATTTCTTTTGTCTCATTCATACAGGAATGTAAAATATGGAGCTAATAAACTTTGTGATGCTGGTGCCTTTCAAGTCTTCAGGGCAAAAATAGTTTTCTGGATAGAGGCTGCTCTGCATTAGAAATAGTGCAGATGGATGGACTTAAGCTCTTGGGTAATCAGTGAAGACTTTACTAGCCTGTTAGCTCTCCTTTAGAAGAGGGAAATTAATGTTGGAAAGAGGAAAAGGCTGGTTATTGGTAATAAGTCTTTCTCCAAGTGTTTTGGCCTCTTTTCCATCCTGTTTAGCTGTAATTTCTGGAGTACCAGAAGATGTGAGATAGCATGCAATTCCACTCACAGGCTCTCTCACTCCTGATGAAAAGAAAATTCAATTGCTATGGTCATGTGGCTTGGCATGTAGTTCCAGAAGTGGCTCTGTGGAGCTTTCTGCAGAGAACAAGCAAGCATGCTGGTAGGAGATACTTTTTATTTTTAATTTCCATGCTCTGGTTATCCATATTGCTATTGCTCTATGATGCAATGCTAGTTAGTCATACAATTTGCCCTGTAAGTTAATTTAATTTAAATTTGCACCAAAGTTAAAATTTTAAAATAGGAGATATTGATCTGTTCTGTTCTGAGAAGTGCTCTGTTGCTGAAAGGCAGAGCGGGCATAGGAAGATGGAGACATGTTTGCATGAGGTGGAATAGAAACCCAGGCTCTCGAGAACATGCTTGTTGTGTGGACTTGGCAGCTCAGACATTTACCACCATTCTTTCTATGCTGAATTCAGCCTGCAAGTGAAGAACAAGCTCCCAGGACCTTTGTCCAGGAATACAATTACTCTTGTATGTGATTAGGATGTCCAAAACCTGCAGATTTCTGTTGCTCTTTTTTATTCCAACTTGTTCCTTGTACAGTCCTTTCTCATAAGGAGCTTCTTGCATTAATTTGCTCCAGTTGCTGCTTAGATTGAAAGGCCTGAGACTCTTGGAAAATGCATGCTGTCCTCTAGAGGTCTGGATCTCCCCAGTCTCTCCCACTAGGATGTTGTTAATGTTTTAAGAAGCAGTGAAAGGCATCCTTGGAGCCAACATGACTGGATTTCTTCCTTGTCTAAAGAATGCAGAACATTCCTTTCCAGCCAAAGGGAAATTGTGCCACCCTTTTGAAAGAAAAACCAAACGTGAAACGAAGAAAATTCAAAACTTTATTTTTATCTGAGGAGTTCTAGGGCTTTAGCTCAAAGCTACAGATTTAGCATGTTGCAGTTATGAGTGGTATCTTTTACAGTCACCAAGAAGGTTTTAAAAAGTAGGCTGGTCAAAAACAGGATGTCAAAAACAGCCCTGCAATTGCTTATCTTGATAAAGTCACTTGGTCTTCCTTCTGGAAGAAGAAATATATTCAAGTGAGGATACTGGTTTGTTAGTGATTAACTCTTCTGGACACTATATGAGAGGTGTTGATACCATTTTTAAATCAACTGATTGAAGGAAATGGGAAAGGTGGCTTGGTTCTATAACCTGGGATTTAAGGATGATCCAACTACAGGGTAAATTCTGGCTGGAGTAACTTTCAGTGTCAGTCATGAAGAGTCTTGAGTGGTATGAATTCCCGTTTTCTTTTATAAAGTCGCTTGCAGTGCATAAAGTTCCAGGGCTGTTTTGACTTGTCTTGTTTCCCTATTGCAAAAGCTGGCAATAGCATCTGCAATTCCCTGTACAGTTGGTGGAATGTAAGCTCTGATGGACCCACAGAAAGCAAAACCCAGGTTGAACTTGTACAGTTACTATCTTACATGTAGACAAGACTCTTGTATGGAGCTGCAAAAATCTTTCCTCAATATGTTTGCAGCCTACCCTGAGATTAGCTCAGTTGGTTAGAGCATGGTGCTAGTAATGCCAAGGTTCTATCACAGTATGGGCTATTTGCTTAAGAGCTGGACTTGATGACCCTTGTGGGTCCCTTCCAGCTCAGGTTATTCTGTGATTCAAAACTGAAGCAGTCTGAGAAACCTAAGATGAGCAACTTGAAATTTCGGCCAACTGAACATGTAGAATTGGGTTCCTTTTCATGGGTTTGACCGTCAGAAATTAGTTTCAAGGTAGGCTTTTTTGGCAGAGAAATTCTGGACTGCAGCTGTGGGCAAGTTGGCCCATTCTGTGGCTCTCTTCCTGCTGTTTTTCAAGTCTTACCTTTAGAAAATGTTAATGGCCTAGTTGTGCAGCCAATAGACTGAGCAGTCTGAATCAGTAATGAGCCATTAGTCTGAGTCAATAATTAGGCTGAGCAGTAGAGGGTGAACACTTTCCTCAGGCAAACCCAAGTGAAGGATGGCTTGTGCTAGTGTAAACAAATGGAACTGCTTGTACCTGGGGACCTGAAGGCTTTATCTGCTAGTGTTAAGAAGTCAAGTGCAGCTGGCACTAATTCACCTGCCATCAGCTCACAGGGAGGGGAGCACACTGCCTCCACAGTGGTTAGCATGTCTCACACAAGACAGATAATATCTTGACAAAAATATCATATTGAAATGTGACTAAACCCTGAGACTGGGACTTTGGTCTTTACCTTCTCCAGATCTTTCTGGATTCAACTAGGTACTGACCAAATCTGAAATGCAACTGTGCTATCACACAAACCAAATTTCAAATGCTCCTACCTCTCTGACC